TGGCTAAAATATCTATTGATGCGACTATGCAACAACACTTAGAAGATGAACGATTTGGGAAATCAATGGGAAATGTTTGCTGTTTGTTGAATTTTTTTGATAGATTCTTGTTCCCATTTGTCAATTTGTTTGAGAAGAGGATGATTATTGTTTTCTTTGTTTTTCTCTTCCAAAATCATTTGTTGTAGAGTATCATATTCAAGAACAATTTCATCTAATTGATAACTAAGAAGATCTCGATGTTCATTAACATGTTTTCGACAAAATATTTGTGAACAACCTTCACATTTCAAAATTCCCACACTCTTACAATCATCAGAAGTGCAAGTAGTTTTTGATGATGATGATAATGACATGATGAAAAAATTGCGTTTTAGTCGTAAATGATGAGAAAAAGAAGAGATGGGTAATTTTTCTGTCGTTTCTTTTATCATTCAAGCGTGACAATTGAATGTAAAAAAAAAAGGAAAAAAAAATTTCCGTCTCATCAAAATATATGATGCAATCTCATTTGTTTTTTGTTATAGTCAGTGTCCAATAATAACAATGCTATATTGAAAAAAGATAGTCAAATGAAAAATACAGTTTTTTTTTATGAATGAAGTTTCCAGTGTCAAGAAATATTCTTTTTTGTTTTCTTCTGACATTGAAATACAGTTTATTAGGATATAAAAAGTCATTGCTCGTGCTATTAAGAATTCAAAATTTTGATTAACATATAATTCAATCGAAAATATTTTAGTCTAATTCTTCATAAACAGAGAACATATAACAACTTAGTTCTAACTATCAAAACAGAATGATATCCTTTCTTGCAAATATTTTTAAAATAACCAGAGAAAGCTAGTTTATCTTGGGAAAACAACATATTTCCTGTAAAATATTTTTAATATCACATTTTTATTAAGATTCCTTTTTTGTGAATTATGGATAATTCTAGTGCTTTTACTGTTCAATAAATGTCATGGATGACAACGAACGAAAACGAAAATAAATAAATGTATCTTTTACTTTTTGAATAAACTAAACAATTAAATACTGGTTCTTGTCAACGATGCTAACGGTTGTTCTTTTTACAGTAAAAAAATATTACAGTCTGAATGGCTGCATGTGGAGAATTTACACGTTTTTTTCATTCGAGAATCTTGACTATCCGAAAATTAATAGTACGTGGTGTTAGATCATGTTTAGAAAATTTATTGGAATTTTGTTGTGAGAATATATTGATTGTCGCCATGATTACTCGTTTGTTTATTTCTCTTTTTCTAAATAATCAACGGATAGTAAATTCGAGAACAATAATTCGTGCATATATGAAAACTTGTTGTATAAAATGAGATTCAAACACTTTTTATGTGTATTTGGAACGTTCACAAATAACTTCCTTTTTGACAAGAACTAAATAAAACGAATATGTTACTCTTATTAACATACGTTATATCAAAGTAATAGGTATTTATTGTTTTTTTTTTCTAAACTATAAAGCAGAATGACGTTGCTATCAGACGAAGTCTCAATGGTTATTAAAAAGAAAAGGCATTTCTCGTATTTGATTATCATAAGATCAATCCTGTTCGTATGACTAGTGATCTAGATAATTATAATAACAAAAAATCTATTCTAACGAATCGTTTCTTTGTAAAATGTTCTTAAATATTCTCAAACTAAATTGAAACTAGACATCACAAAGCTAATTCATCACTATTAACGAGTTTAGTTCTCTTTACTAGTACGACAGCGAGTTTCCCACTAGAAAAATCGACTTCAATTGAATTATTAGATCCAATCGTAGATCAAACAAAATCAATTTGAATGTTAACAATCACGCATCTTCTGTAATTTTATCAGAAAATAATATTGTTTTAATTGATGATCAGAGATATTCTCATACTACTATTGCAACACATGATTTATTCAATGATCTACAATTTGAATTCATTCATGGCAAAACATATGCATTATAGAGTAACGTATTTGTCGACAAGTAATAAAATTCTTAGTACCAGTGGAAAAGGCAGTATATAATCTATTATTATGGAAAACTTATATTCGATCTTCTATAAATAAAGTTCTCTTGAATGATTGATCAAAATCAGTATAAATTTGTATCGAATAGTTATGAGGTATTTTATCTTGAAATTTTATTATTTATTTAATAAAGTAAAGCACTATATAGATGTGCTTTCTTTTTACATTCCTTTGTTTCGTTTAATAAGAACAGTGAGAATTCGAGAGCTATGTTATCTTGAAAACATCTACTATGAATAAAGAATGTGAAAGACTTTACGGCTACATTCATTCCGTTGACTAGTGTAGTATCTGCATGTGGTGATTGAAATTTGTCATTTTATAATGAATTCATTATTTGTGAAGTTAATATTTTTAATAGAATTTATTGATTCACATAGCTCTGGAAACAGAATTTAACATTTGCAGGGTGTGGATATGGATGTTGTTGAAGAGAAGACCTTCACGTTCATACCACACAAAATCCTCTGAGCATTTTGAACATTACAGATCATTTGCCGAGAGAAAATGACTTTAATTTTAATAAAATGTATTTAGATCGATTCACAGGGGATAAGTGTTTATTTCGAACATTCTTGTTTTAGATTTCAACGTAAAACAATCTTCTTTTTAATCAAGAATTAATTCAAATAGAACTCTACTAAAGTATCACATGAATAACATAGAGCAGTCTATTAATAGAAGAAAAGATTGAAAACAGCATCTATTTATTTGAAAATTGAGCAATTCAATATTCAAAAACATTGTATCAAAATTGAAATCATTTTTCTCAGTTAGCTAGGCTAATACGAATGAAAATTGAAACGGTGACGATGTATAGATATCATCATTTTTGCTTGTTGTTTGATTCTACCGATTGTTTGTTTGTAGTCATCTTTAGCAGTACTAGTTTTTTGTAATATATTATCACGTTTTTCAAACTTCTTCTATTTGATTATTCTAAAAGTCAATGCTTTTGCTAATGTGCCTGATGTTTATTGATTGTATCAGTTATATTCATATTTGCTAATAACCTCGTTTGTGTCAGCAGCATGAGTATTTGATTTATTCAAGCAAAGAAAATATAAATAATTGTACTTTTCAAAGATTGTTGAATGAATGATAAAACTAGATGTCCATTATTCAATCATCCATTGATTGTTACTTCATTTTTTATGAACTCAACAGAAGTGGATGGTTCCACCGTATATGTGACACGTTTACATCGAGTTCTTCAAAATCAATTTTCATATTTGAAATCGTGTAGAGCATAGTCGATTTTGCTTATTAAAATAACAAAAGATCTTCTATAAATTCTAATGTTGAAGAGATTAGCGATTGATGAGATTAATGCGAAAAATAGCAAATTCTGTATAAAATCACTGTAAATAAAACTTAAATGTTCATCATCTTATCTCGTTAATGCAGAATTTGGACAGATAGTGACATAGCAGGTTTTATAGAGCAAAATTCATTCTACACGCCCATATAGAATACTTTTCAGAGGAATAGCAAACAGGAGTTATTTCAGGATGAAACTATTATCATAATTAATTCATGTATTATTTTCTGTTCCTCTGAAAAGTGTTATATATGGACGTGTAAAGCGAATTTTGCTCTACAAAATCTGCTATGTCATTATCAGTCGAAATTCTGCGTTATCGAGATATAATAATGAACATTTTAGCTTTATTTATCGGAGTTTTATATAGAATTAGCTATTTTTCGCATTAATCTCATCAATTGCTAATCTCTTCAGCATTAGAACCTACTTATAGCAGATCTTTTGTTATTTTAATAAATAAATCGACTATGCTCAACACACAATTTCAAACATGAAAATCGATTTTGAAGAACTCGATGTAAACGTGTCACATATACGGTGGCTTTCCAAATTATTCGATCAGATTTATTTTTGACTTTTTGTTCACTGTCGTAAATACTAATCAGCTCGAAGATGAAAACGATCAATCTTACGGAGGTCACAAAAGTCCTTTTGCTTACTATTTCATATTGAAGCATAATTTTTATACCCTCCGCAATGCACCTCAGCGAACAAAACATCGTAGAGCACTAGGAGATATTTCATTTTGTAGAGAATTGTTTACTTGACTATTCTGGCTAATTCAAATAGAATTCTATTTGAAGATTTTAGGAGCTGAAAAAGCGTTGGTTTAGATTTTTCAACGACCTTATCTTTTGTTTTTAGTGTCTATAGCAATCGGCATAAAATTGAACGAAAATCGAATGGAATAAATTTGAGAGCTAGTGTAAACATACTACTAATATCAATCTTTTGGCGATGACATTCTTTTTTGAAGGATAAGGCTCTGGAAGTGCACAGACAAGTAGAATGACCCAGAATTTTATAGAATCCTTCAAGTGATTTCACGAAGAATTTCGAAATCCTATATCATAATGTAGATCTCATAAAATCTAACATCTAATGATCTGTAGCCCAAGAGCTATGTTGATCTAAAAGTACACATACATAGTTGTATCATATGATGCTGTTTTGTGAGACTAGCAAGTTAATTAAGCAATAGAGAGAATACTATTATGGTTTAGTAAAGATAAATTATCGTACAAATTGGAATCTGCGCAAAAACTCAAAATGTATATATACGTTTCTTGTTGGCAAATAGTTAAAATATATTTCTGTAAGAATTATTCAAATAAATGAAAATATGATAAAACTAATTTTAATTTTATTATCTTAAAATAAATTATTTTTAATTAAAAATTTTGAGCACAACACATTCTCTCTTGTTTAAATAAATTTATAAACAATATTTTCTAAGAAAATCATTCGAGATCTTTTTTTTCATTTCATTAGATTTGTTTGGAGATAACGACAGAAATTTTTAATTAGTTAAATCATAAAGACTTTATAGACTAATAGTCTACTGGAAATATTCTTGTAGGTAGTGCTTTTCTGAAAATCATCTAATGACAAAAAATATAAACTAACATATTCATTACACGAATTTACAACTTTTTTTTACTTTCAATTAATCATCCTTGTTGTCAAGTTGTGATATCAAAAACCATAGATAAACTATGTATAGGTAAAGTAATTCAAGATCAAGTTATTATGATATTTAAAAAAAAACGACTTCTATATGCCTGAAATTCTTCTCTTTTTGAAAGTAGAAAATTTGAAATATAATAAATTATTTAATTATTTGATAAGCTCTGTCCGTATATCATATACTATATAGTGTCTCCCTCTGCTTAATATTGCGTTATTATTATTTTCATACAATTGGCTATCGAAAATTATTATTTTGTTTCGCAGTTCTGTTTTGTTTTGAATGTGTTTATCGTACAAAACTAGTATTTTTATTGAAAAAGCTATTGTATTGCAATTTTGAATTGGAATTCAAGAATCAATTTTTATATTCTCACTGTTGCTAGTTTTTATTTGTATTGAGTCACGTATAAATTGCTGGTATTCCTATAGCAGATGTTCCACCGTAAATGTATGGTAACATTATAGCTGGTGTTCCCCACTATGAAAAAGTGTTCCACCTTCTTATTTTATAATATAAGAAGGTGGAACATTTTTTCATAGTGGGAAACACCTGCAATAGGAATACCAAATTGCTTAATATTACGCTAAAAACATACTGAAGTTGGAAGATACTTGTAAAGTATCGCTAGATCACAAATGAATTTGTGTTTTTTGCTTAGCTCTAAATATTTTCTTCTAAAAATAATAAATTAATACATATTTTTTTGTTATAATTATTTAATACTAAAAGATATTTTGTTCTTTTAGGCTGCATTTTATCCAGGTTGACATGGATTTATTTTATGCAAAAATCGTGCAAGAGAGTGAGTATCGTATTAAATATATAGATCGTTATTTAAAAGAAATTTTGAATGACTTAGAAGTTTTGTTATCTACGATTTCGAATGAAAATTATTATCTATAAAGGAAAAACAATAGAAGAAACACACTTTATAAATTTATGTAAATCTTAAAATTTACGTTTATATTTTAATTCAAATTTTACTTTTTCTTTTGATAAAATCTTTTACTCTCGATACTATAGATCTATTTATTCTAATAAAATAATTACGTTCAATTTTATTCAAACTAAAATAAAGGATACTTATGTTGATAAGAAATTTAAATATGACTAAATTCTCTTCTTTTAGCTAATTTAATATTAACAAAAACAAAACTAATGATGCTTCATATGTCGATGAAACACATCTTCATATATTATTAGGTGGATCCAAAAGTAACATAACACATCTTTTTTCTTTTTCGATTTTTTTTCTTTGTACATAGTCAATTAGATCTTATATTTATATACTGCATATACTAGGTGATATAATTCAAAGATGCAGCATCTAGATGTAGTTGATGAGTGTGTAAATCAGTACTTTAGCGATTGCAACTTTGCAAAGACTTAGAGGGTAAATAGATTGAGAAATTTCTGTGAAAAAGCTCGCTGTTAAAAATACTTCACAAATACGTATTATTGTGTGTGTCTGTCATTTTTCTAGTTCTATTCCCTTAATAAACATTTTGTTAGAATTCAGACTTGTTTCCTTACTTTTGACCGCTCTGTATTTGTACACTTGAAAAAATTACTCACTACACATAGATATTGATTCTATGTGATATCTTTGAATTGTATCATCTAGTATATGTCCTTGGGTGGAAATAATATTATTTCAGGAGGCTAAAACTGTACTTTCAAATAACATCAACAAAAATGCGAGTTATCAGTTACTAAATAGTAAGGTTTATGGCAACTTCTTAGTGTCAAATTGAGAACATTCCTAAATTTTAGGTCATTCTGACACAGAAAAATCCTTATTATGAGACAGTTCAAACTAGATCATCATTGTAAATGATGACTATCATATACAGTAATGGTTATTTTTTTAAGATTTGACAAATATAATCAGTATGGTGACTATTGGTGTTCTTTACAGGACCGAGATGAAACGTATACAAACATAAAAAAGTGTTTCTTGTAACTCAATGTTTGTTTTCATTTTTGTCAAAACATTTAAAATCTATTTTTTTTTCAGTTTCTTCATGATAACAGTTATGTTCCGTCTTTGACGACATTTTTGTAAACTCCATTTATCACTCTTTGCTTCCATATTTGCCAGACTCGATGTTGATGACTTTTTGATAATAATTATTTTAAAATAAGATTTAGTTTGAAATGACTATAAGGAGGATTTTTCTGTGTCGATATGACCTAAAATTTAGGAATTTTCTCAATTTGACACTGAAAAGTTACCATAACACTTACTATTTAGTACTGATAAGTCCTATTTTTGACGCGCTTTGATTTGGTATAAAGTTTGTTATTTATGTCATTTGGAAGAACAGCATTACACATCCTGGGATAATATTATTTTCACTCTAGCAGTATAAATATGAAGTCAAACTCACTATGTACAAAGCAAAAATCGAAAAAAAAAGTGTTTTATTATTTTTGCCCTATCTTCTATTAAATTTACAACACTTGACTTAACATACAAGTAGAATAAAAGTAGAAAAAATACAAGAGTGTAATAGCGATAGTTAGGTAGAAACATAATCCTCTCGTGTTACTATTGATGCATGACAAGAAAAAAAATCTGATCTGACTTTTTGTTCTATTTTTATCATACCTATATGTTAAGTAATTTGTTGAAAATATAATATCTGAAATAGTATCTCATCAAGATATGAAGTATTTACTGAGGAGAAAAGCTCAAGTTTGGAACATCCAGTATCTTTTCGTAGTGAAAGTTAGTAGGGATGCTTACAGAGACAGCAAATAAGATAGAAGTTAAGATTATAGATAGAGATGAATGTCATAAAGTCCTTAACACATTAGAAGATCCGAGATCTTCTCTTATGTTCGTATGAAATCAATGTAATTCAGCATTTTCTCAATGCTCGTTTACATATTCAATCTTTTTTCTAGTTAAGATTTGATTACTAATATTAAAGGATCCGAATCCATAGATGGTTTATCAAAATTTTCAATCAATTAAGCCCTATTTTAAGATACTATATAGACGAATTCAGAAAACAAAGCTTCATGTCACCGAAAAAAAAGAAATCGAACTCGAGAATTTTGACACAACACCTTTAGATCCAGAGTTCTCGATCCTGAAAACTTTCAATCAAGTTTTATTAAAAAACAAAATAAATCAAATTATTCAAGTATGACTTTCACTCCTAGCTATAACATAAAGTTTTCATCTTACTTTATGACACATACAGCACTTTTTTAGTAGAGTCTGATGCATATTGTCTGCACTTATAAACTCGAATAACATTAATTAATTAATTGTACAGTTTTATCTTATGAATATTTTTTTTAAAAATCTGATTAGAATTGAAGTTCTATTTAAATACTATCATATATAATAAATATTGAATCAATTATCTTTTTTTCTTCTTCATATTTATAGTTGAATCATATATAACTGATGCTAATCTAAACAATGATTATATCATAGCAAATTGCGTACGTGAAAATGATGGATGGATACGGCTTGAATTGTTAAGTCGTTGTAATAAATTATCAAGTTATAACTATGATACAATACTTCAAGCTTTACACTCTAAATATTCAAATATAATTGAATTGAGTTCATTTACACCTCGATGTATACGTCATCGATGTCAACCATTAACAGGAGATAGTATTCAAGATAATCGAACTGTTATTGTTACCGGTTTACCATATGATGCTAGACATGAAGAATTAATAGAATTTTTCAATCATTTTTATCCGGTTAAAGAAATAAAAATGTTTTCATTATCAAATAGATTTAATGGAATAATTCACCTTATATTTAAACAATCGCAAGATGCATTAGAATTTGTTCAACGATCAAAATTAACACGCATACTGTATGTTCGTGATAATTCACAGCAATTATCGAATGGTTATGACATTGCTTGTAAAATGTTAACTGATAATGTTAATAAAGATTTTATTGAACAGAATAATCAACAAAATTTTATTAAGGGTAACAAAAAAAAAATAGAAATTAATTATTTATATATATTATTTTTATAATATCGTATTTTAAAAGGGAGACCATTTTCCACTCGACTTGCTAATCTTTCGTCTCGTGTTTCGTTCAATACAAACATTTCATTGACTAATGATAATCCCGGTAAATAACACGATTACACTTTTTTTTTAATGATTTATAGAAAAGAAACATTTTAGCTAGTGATTTTTAATTAAAATATAGTCAAATTTCCTTGTCGTGTACGTTATTCGTACTTTTCCAAAAATATCCATCATAGAACTAAATAACAGTGTCTATTTTAGAAAAATTTATTTATCTCAATAAATAAATAAATGAGTATATAATACGTAAAAGACTTTCCATCTGTTTATGTTAAATTCCTATTTCTGTTCTTATTTTATTGAATTAATTAAACACATCAGTATGAATAAAACAAAAATGTTCAGTTAACATAATCATATAGTCATATAAAATAAATCTGTCGAAAATATTCTTATACATTGGATTATTGTGATCTATGCAATAATTTGAAAAAATTTATTTGGTCGAAATTTCAAAATATAAAATAAATAAAAAAAAAAAAAAAGATTTTTAATCATATTATTTTATTATCGTTTTTTTTAATATTTTAGTTCATCATAAATCACGAACAGTACCTATTAAAACAAAAACTTGTTTGAAGTCGAACACATGTGCAACAGAACAAATACTTTTTTGTCAAAATATGGCAAAGAAGACACCAATAAGAAATATTGAATATGAAAGACAAAAAATTGTCTTTAATAAATTCGCATATGAATTTTATATTCCTAATCGTGTTCTT